TTGATATCAACATAATTATTCATTTGTTCTATCTTATAATGTGACTTCTGAAAACATTATAAGATTTATCTTTTTTCAGTTCACATTGTCTTCATGTGAGTATATGACACAGAGAATGTGTTTTCAAATTGTTTTGTTTAAAATCACTTTTGATAGTTCTATTTTGTATGGCTCTGTGAGCCAACAGGATGGGTAGATATTTAGGTACTTTTATTTAAATTTGAAATTTTAGGAATTGCTTTTTAAAAAACTAGTTCTTTTATGATTATAATTCTGTATAATGTTTTCATGATTCCAAAATCAAGACAAGGCTACTTTTAAAGAAGGCTGATATCCTTGTTAGCTCTATTCCAATTCTCCTTCTCCTTTTTAGGGATAGCTTTCCAGGCTAATTTTGACTCATCTTTTTATTAATGTTTTTTAAATATAGTTTTATCTGAAATTTTATTTTTCCTGTTGTAAAGAATGAAAATTTTCAATTTCAATACTGTAATCTCTGGACTTGGGTTTATAAGGATTTTTCTGGAAGCATAGATGTGCCATGGAACTCTGATTAAAACTCTTTGTGGTCGTTGTAATTCCTTCTGAGCAGGTCTCTAGCCATTCCAGGCTCAGATGCCAAGACAGTGCAAAAGTTGAGTTTAGCAGATGCTTACATGGGGTTAGTTTCTGCATCCAGAATCTTCCAGGGAGAGGAATCTTCAGGCTTCATCCCTAATCAGTTGAGCCTAAACCAGTTTCTGGAGGCTGGGCCTCGGGCTTCAGATCCTTATCCCCACCCAGGTGATTCTAAGGTGCAGTCAGGATGAAGACCACCGTGTAAAAGATGAGTGAAGGCTAGAATATCTAGAATGCTGGTGGTTATGATTTCCCAGATTCACTGTTTTTCCTCTTTATCTCTGAATTTTTCTCAACTTCACTTTAAAACTCCCCCAGTTCTAAAGATTAACTGCCTGTTCATTTTTTTTTCCTACAAGCTCACTCTTTTCTGCTAATATGTTTCACTCAAGTATTGTTCTTTGTTAGCTTGTTTCTATTTTTTTTGTGTTTTTTTTTTCCATGAATGAGATATGGGGAAATTGAGTGAGAAATGTTTCAAGTACCTTAGCTTGGAGGATGAATTCTATCCACTGCAGAAGTTCTAGTTTCTAATGTAACCCTGCAAGAAGTTATCCTAAGAAGCAAACGGTGGGACCCAATATCAGGTGCTTTCAGGAGGCTGAATACCAAGGACTCTATCAAGAAATGTCTACCACGAGCTTCCCTGGCAGTCTGGTGGTTAAGACTCCATGCCCCCATTGCAGATGCGAGGGTTTTTGATCCCTGGTCAGGGAAATTGTAGATTCTGCATGCCACAGAATGTGGCCAAAATAAAAAGTCTGCCTCAGAGACTCAGACTCTCAGAGAATCCAAATAATGGATGTTATGGTGTTAAATTCTGCTCTTTTAAAGAACATTTATGATTTCAGAGTTGTGAAGAATTCTTGTGAAAGAATAACTATATTCTCAATTGGTTTGTGGAAAGAATATACATGTGGTCATAGATTTATATCAAAGAGGAAGGGTTTAAGGGGACAGTGTTTGACCTTGTTTCTGCTTATCAAGAAAGTTTTAATTCAGTTAGCTTTATGATTGATAATGAATATTTTCTCAGTTGTTTTATTTCTTTTTAGTTGGTGGTGAGAATCGGGAATGTACAGATGAGAGAATTCCTTGGTGGTGTCTGCCCACACCAGTGTACACATGGTAGGGGCAGCTCCCAGGAATGGCTGCCACCAGCCTCTGTGTCCCCAGGGTGAGCCACAGCCACTCCTTGCCTCTCTGAGAGACTCTCCAAGACAAGGAGAATCTTCTGAAATTTGGTCTATCCTTGGGATTTACACCACTGTTTCATTTGGGGTTAATACTTGAACTAGAGCATTGAGCATATATGCAGGAGCTAATCTTCTGGTAGCTGGAAAATCTTTTGCCTGGTTTGCCTCAGCCAGTTTTACCAAATGCCAGAAATGGAAACACTCACAGATTACAAATGCTGCTGCTAGCTGTCCTGCCAAATGACTCTTCATCTCTAACCTTTCCTTGTGTGTGGAGGGGACAGATCTACTCAGTCTACCTTTGATGGCCTCAGTCACTTCTGCCCTGTGTGTTCTGGAAGCTTTGAAGAATCATATTTAATATGTGTTTTCTTACTCTGTATATGTACTTGGGGTTGTGTTTTCACAATTTTGTGCTATTCACTATTTTGCTTTCTATTTTTTCTTTTTGAGAGACATTACTGGAAAATTGTTTTTTATTTCCTGTTATTTTTTTATATGGAGCATAATATCAATTTTCTATTTTCCATAGTTGCAACTTATGCCAGAGTGGAAATTCCTTGTATGTTATACTTTTCATAAGTGCTCTGAGTTGCCATGACTGCTCCTTGTTGGAGGCAAAGTTGTGCATGTGTGCTCAGTCACTCAGTTGTGTATGACTTTGTGACCCTGTGGACTGTAGCCCGCCAAGCTCCTCTGTCTATGGGATTATCCTGGCAAGAATCCTGGATTGGGTTGCCATTTCCTCCTCCAGAGGATCTTCTCAACTCAGGGATCAAACCTGCATTTGCTGTGACTCCTGTACTGAGATGGATCCTTAGCATTGAGTCATCAGAGGAAGTCCCAAAATAGTGCTTAAAAACTTCCAAAACTGCATCAGTAACACTTCATGTTAGAAATCCTTTGTTATCTTTTTGAAAGATAACAAATTTTCTATTCCAATTAAAGTGTAATCATTATTGAGAATAAAAAGAATTGACAGATGAGTGGAAGATATGAGCCATGAACTGGCATTATACCTTAATGGGGCTATTTCTTCAACTGTTTTTTTTTTTTGGCTGTACCAGGTCTTAGTTGGTGCATGTGGGATCTAGTTCCCTGACCAGGGATCGAACCAAGGTCCCCTACATTGGGAGTGTGGAGTCTTAGCTAAAGGACCACCAGGGAAGTCCCTCAACTGGGTTATTAAATGTTGTTTCTCAGCAAAAAACTCCAGATATACTTAGGCAGTAATGACCTGCCTTTATTTACACTCTTTATTGCTGGATTTGTTGCATTTATCCATACTGTGTTTGGTGAGTGACATTCCTTTTATTTCTCCTGTAATCACAAGGATGTTAGCTCAAATGGAGACCTGAGTAACAGACGACAGTGATTCCCAAAGAGAATCAAAAGTTTTAGGAAAGTCTGGGATGGCAGATACTATTGCTGGACTTCTGGTGGTTTGTGGCTCCAGCACTGGACTGCCCTTGGCGGCACCTGGGCTGGGACTGCCCATGTGCACAGTTTGATGTTCTTGCTTCTCTGTGTGACCTCCACATTTCCATCTCAGGAAACTCTCTAAAACAGTGTGTTTGACAATCCATTTTATGAGGGACTCTTCCATGAGCTCTCTATGCCTCTTGGGATGGGTGACAAGACATGGTGAACTGTATCAGAACTGATCATTTTACTCAGGTCTGATGATCTTACTTACACTTCTTCAACTAAATAGTGTTCCCTTTATCCTCTATAGTAGATGAAGATTTCCATGACTTCATGGATGGAGAGGGAGTTGGTGCAGCCTGTGAATGTGTGTGTGTGTGCATGTGTGTAGAACAAGACAGGAATGTTAAGGTTTAATGAGACCCCCATATGAGGCATGCGGACATCTTTTGATAAATATCCTGATCAGGCACTGGTTGGCTGAGCAGGAAATGCTTAGTTTTTTTGTGTGTTTGATGTTATGGATTCTCCTTCCCTCGTCTTGTGTGTATGTTCCTCAGCTTCAGAAAGACAGAAGAGAGCTATCAAAGCAAACCTGTCAGGTAAGCAAAGCTTACCCTGTCTGTTAATAAGGCGGGATTGCCAAAAAAGCAAAAGCCCTGTTCCTGAAAGACTTCGAAACTTTTGGCATTTTGTCTTTTGAGAAGTCTGTGGAGGACATGATGTTGAGGGTCAAGGTGTTTACTTTTGGTGACTTGGATTCATCGAGTGTTTGGTTTTCCTTGATGGTGGAGAAGGAAGGGGACCTGGGGAGAAAGGGACCTTCATGGAGTGACTAGAGGGAGGAAGTTGTGGGACGAAGCGGCTGTTTGGCAGGTTGGGTAGGTGTTGCTGTTTCTTTGCCTTTTTCTTTGGGAAAGAAGCTTGCTTTCCCTAAGTCTTACTCAGAGTGGAAGCCTCAGTGCACCCTGAGTCAATTGGTTTAGCCTTGGGGAAGAGATGATTTAGAACATTTCTTCCAAACCACCAACTTCAGTGGATGGTGGATGGAAAACTATGGAAGACATAATTTTTTAGTTTGGTCTCCACCATGTTTAAGTTTTTACTCCAAGGAACATTCCAACTTCTAGAGGGTAGAGGCATAGTGAGGCAGTGCTCCTGGGAGCTGAGAGCCTGCAGAGCGGCCAAGCCTGGTTTCTTTCTGTACTGCAACCGAAGCTGGTTTCCTTTCTCTTGATCTACAGACATGTGGAGTTTGGGATGGAAGAGAGTGGATGTGTTTGTGCCAGTGTCTCAGTTCATAAAGATTCCCAAAGAAGGTAACAAAAGCGTATCTCCCATATGTGAACCAGGTTGACTTTCTATTGGTCTGGGACATTAAGAATACAGGGGACAGGGGCAGGCTGCCAGTAGGCTTGTTCATATGGAAGCAGATTTCTTATTCTTCTTCTGCCAACTTTTTCCTTATTCATCTTAAGGCTCAGTTGGTATTGAGCCTGGTTGTGGTATTTACTGAGCATCCACAGTACACTAAGCATGATACTAAGGCTTTACTATTTTTTAATGTAAAATTTTGTCTTAAGGTTAAAACTGTTGTCTACTTGTCTTATAGGAGATAGTGAATCTGCATATTTTTCTTCTAAATTAGCCATGAATGTAGCATTTTGTCAAAATGTATTTTTAGCATGCTAATGCTAAAAGTAAATCTTGCGTAAAGAAAAACTGGCATTTCTAATTAAGGCTTTTTTTCTTTTCTTTCAGGAAGGCACCAGAGTTGTTCAACCCATATTTTTGGGGAAAATGATTAGTTATGTTGAAAACTACAATCCCACCGATTCTGCTGCTTTGCATGAAGCCTACGGCTACGCGGCAGGTCTGAGCACCTGCGTGTTCGTGTGGGCCATTCTGCACCACTTGTACTTCTATCACATTCAGCGTATGGGGATGAGGCTGAGAGTAGCCGTGTGCCATATGATCTACCGCAAGGTGAGTGTCACGTGGTACCATGGTGTGTACTTCTCCTGAAGCATCAGAAATATTTTGGGAACATTCTGTGTAAATTAAAAATTTTCTAACTGGGATCATTTATACTTTGCTAGGGCTTCCAGATGATGGTTCAGTGTTAAAGAATCTGCCTGCCAATGCAGGAGACACAGGTTCAATCCCTGGGTCTGAAAGATCCCCTGGAGAAGGAAATGGCAACCCACTCCAGTATTCTTGCCTGGAGAATTCCCTGGAGCCTGGCAGGCTACAGTCCACAGGGCCACAAAGATTTGGACATGACTGAGTGACTGAACAGAAACAGAGGAGCTTATTTGCATCAAGCCAAGTTTATTGTTCTTTAAGCAAACTTTATAAATATATAATAAAAATTTTTCTATTGAGATCAGGTCAAGACTGCCTTTGATGACTTTTAGTCATAGGCTGTTGCACAATATCGACTAAATTTGTAACAAAATCTAATTAAAAAATTTGTACCAAATGTATCACATTGATTTTCATTGATTTTCAGTGTTTTCATGCCAAAGTAGTATTGATGAAAATTTTGTTGTTGTTATTGTTCATTAAAACCTTCATTTATATCAAAGTTGTATTTGAAAGTGAACTTCAGTGATTGGATTAAATCTAGGAGATTTAATTTATAAAATTTAATATAAATTTAATTTATAAAATTAAATCTAGGAGAACAGAATGTGTTTGAGATAGGACATGACTGAGTGACTGAACAGAAACAGAGGAGCTTATTTGCATCAAGCCAAGTTTATTGTTCTTTAAGCAAACTTTATAAATATATAATAAAAATTTTTCTATTGAGATCAGGTCAAGACTGCCTTTGATGACTTTTAGTCATAGGCTGTTGCACAATATCTACTAAATTTGTAACAAAACCTAATTTAAAAATTTGTACCAAATGTATCACATTGATTTTCATTGATTTTCAGTGTTTTCATGCCAAAGTAGTATTGATGAAAATTTTGTTGTTATTGTTCATTAAAACCTTCATTTATATCAAAGTTGTATTTGAAAGTGAACTTCACCGATTGGATTAAATCTAGGAGATTTAATTTATAAAATTTAATATAAATTTAATTTATAAAATTAAATCTAGGAGAACAGAATGTGTTTGAGATAGGTAATGATTATATTTTTATATGGCCCATTTATTCATATTCAGTAAAATTGTGTTAACTAAAGAAAAATATAAATAGAATCTATGCCATATACAGACTCACTCACTATATTCTATGATTATGATTGTTTTAATGGCATTAAAGAAAATAGTTGGATATTTGGGATAAAACTTGAAATTTTCCATTGTCCCTGGCAATTCTGGAGAGAATTTGTGGCTGTTCATTCAAATTATTTTCATAATTAAATATTTACTTTTTGTTTTTAGCATGCATTATAGTAGTTTTAATAAGACCTGATTTGATGTGTTCAGTGATTTTCTATTGAGAAATGCCATAGAATTATTTCATAGTTTATTCTGGTCTTAGCTAATATAAAAAGAGTAAGGATTTCAGGTGTCTTTACAAAGAAATTGCCAAACAGATGCACTATGTCAGGAGCTAAAGAATCCATATAAATTTGTTCCTGGGTATCTTGTTGCTCTGCATTGTTTTTTTTCAAACCCTTACTTTACTGTATTGTATACTTGAAAGTTGCTGAGAGAGTGGATCTTAGTGATCTCATCTCACATACACAAAATGATAACTACATGAGATGATGAATATGTTCATTGGTTTTACTACAGAAATCATTTCCCAATGTGTATTTTTAACAAAACATCATGTTGCACACCTTAAATATATATAATTTTTATTTAAAAAATCCTTATTGAAAACTAAACCAAACAAGTTAAATCAAAATTATTGTTTCTTTTACCTGGTTGCTACTTATCTAGAGATTCTGTTTCTTAGGAATGCTTTTCTTTGCAAAATGTAAGGTATCTTCTCATCTTTCCTTGAGCAGAGTCTTATTAATGTCAGGGCTGTGTGAATCCAGGGCCCTGACATCTCACAGTCTGTGTTTGGCTATTGCACGAGGTTTCCTCTTGGGTGATGCGGAAATGGCAGCGGTGCCCATACACTCTAATCAGGGGTCTTCCTTGCCCTCCATCATCATCTTGTGTATGTGCGTGCTTGCTCAGTCGCTAAGTTGTGCTCTGTGACCCCATGAACTGTAGCCCGCCAGGCTCCTCTGTCCATGGACTTCTCCAGTCAAGGATATAAGAGTGCATTGCCATTTCCTCCGCTAGGAGAGGTAGATTTTTAACCACTGAGCCACCAGGGAAGCCCTATTCTCCTTCACAGTCCACCATTTAGCAGACAAATACTTAGATTTCCCCACAAATGATGTTTGTCTTCCTAGATCATGCTTAGCTCCATGAATATGCATGAAATTCACCAGAACTATACTGTGAAAGATTTAAGTTAGGTGTGAGGTGATGGGTCAGTCAAAGCTTACTCTTCGCTGTATAGGTGAGCCATAGTCCACCTGTTTTTATTCTTTCCAACTAATACTTTGGAACATCACCTTTGGGAAATCTGATCTGACCTGGTACGTATGCTTGTGTGAATGTAAATTTCTCCCAAAGGTGTTCATTTGCTGGCTTGATTATGCATGAAAGAACTGTCCCTGTATGAAGTCAGGAATTTTAAAGGTTAAACCATAGACTTAATCTGAAATTCAAGAAATGTGGGAAAGACAAATTTCCTTCTGCCTAGCTTTGCATCTAGTGCATCCCTGGTAGCTCAGATGTTAAAGAATCTGCCTTCAATGAAGGAGACCTGGGTTCAATTCCTGGGTCAGAAAGATGCCCTGGAGAAGGAAATGGCAGCTCACTCCAGGATTCTTGCCTGGAGAGTCCCATGGACAAGGGAACCTGGCGGGCTACAGTCCACAGGGTTGCAAAGAGTCGGACATGACTGAAGTGACTTAGCACTAGGACCAGCCTTGCACCCAGAATCCTGCTGAGGTGTAGAAATAAGACACTTCTTTTTTGTAGGTTACAGGTGGGCTGATTCCTTGGGGGCAAATATGGTGCTACAGAGCAGATCTGAACATTTGTGGTTCTTATTCAACTTCTAATCCTTGATCCTAGGAAGAAATCACATTGGGTGTTAGAAATGGAATGGCTACTAAGCTCATGGTCGTAATTTGTCTGCACCATTGGTTCAAGGCTGGGACACATCTCCAGGAGCCCTCTAAGGCTGCACATCTGCAGCTTCCTAAAATGCCCCATTCAGCATTTCAGAGCTCTTTTCAGCTGAACTTAGAATGATCTTTTAGAAGGTATCATATGTAAAATGAATTGTCATTTCTTCACATTTCCACAGCTTTGGTAAAATTACTTTTGGCTTTTTATCATTGATTTTTTACATTGTGGCAAAATATACACAATATAACATTTACTATCTTAACTCTTTTTAATTACACTGTTTATTTGCCGGACCAGCCGGCAATGTGAACAGGTCTCGACCGACCGCAGGAACACGGAAGCCTGAGAAAAAGGAGCTGAAAGTAAAGAATGGGGTCGAGAGGACTGACTGCTCTTTAGGCAAGTCAGCGATTTTATTGAGTAAAGCAGCTACCTTT